ACCGATCCGAGCACCGTTACTCCGGCACCTCCGAGTTCTTGGCACACGTTCAGCTCGATGACGCTCCCCGGGCTCCGATCCAGCAAAGCTTCGGGGAGGAGTTCCGTCAGCACGACGGCGTGGTGACGATCTTGATGTTCAACCGTCGCAGGGCTTCGCCTAAGCACCGCTACAATATGACCGAGGTGGAATATGGTGGAGGGGGGCACCGCACACGGCTAAGGAACGATCACGAAGATCAACTTGTGTGTTCTAGAGTGCCCCCTGCCCCTGTATATAAAGGAGCCAAGGGGAGGGGGCGGCCGGCCAAGGAGGGCGCGCCAAGGGGGAGTCCTACTCCCACCGGGAGTAGGACTCCCTTCTTTCCTAGTTGGAGAAGGAGAAGTGGGAAAGAGGAGGAAGAGGGAAAGGAAAGGGGGGGGGCGCCGCCCCCCTCTCCTTGTCCTATTCGGACTAGGGAGGGGAGGGGCGCGCGGCCACCTCTTGCCTCCTTTCCTCTTCTCCCTTAGGGCCCATGTAGGCCCAATAACCCCCCGGGGGGGGGTCCAGTAACCCCCCGGTACTCCGGTAAAATCTCGATTTCACCCGGAACGATTCCGATATCCAAATATAGGCTTCCAATATATCGATCTTTATGTCTCGACCATTTCGAGACTCCTCGTCATGTCCATGATCACATCCGGGACTCCGAACAACCTTCGGTACATCAAAATACATAAACTCATAATGAAACTGTCATCGTAACGTTAAGCATGCGGACCCTGCGGTTCGAGAACAATGTAGACATGACCGAGACACGTCTCCGGTCAATAACCAATAGCGGAACCTGGATGCTCATATTGGTTCCTACATATTCTACGAAGATCTTTATCGGTCAGACCGCATAACAACATACGTTGTTCCCTTTGTCATCGGTATGTTACTTGCCCGAGATTCGATCGTCGGTATGTCAATACCTAGTTCAATCTCGTTACCGGCAAGTCTCTTTACTCGTTCCGTAATACATCATCTCGCAACTAACTCATTAGTTGCAATGCTTGCAAGGCTTATGTGATGTGCATTACCGAGAGGGCCCAGAGATACCTCTCCGATAATCGGAGTGACAAATCCTAATCTCGAAATACGCCAACCCAACATTTACCTTTGGAGACACTTGTAGAGCTCCTTTATAATCACCCAGTTACGTTGTGACGTTTGGTAGCACACAAAGTGTTCCTCTGGCAAACGGGAGTTGCATAATCTCATAGTCATAGGAACATGTATAAGTCATGAAGAAAGCAATAGCAACATACTAAACGATCGGGTGCTAAGCTAATGGAATGGGTCATGTCAATCACATCATTCTCCTAATAATGTGATCCCGTTAATCAAATAACAACTCTTTGTCTATGGTTAGGAAACATAACCATCTTTGATTAACGAGCTAGTCAAGTACAGGCATACTAGTGACACTCTGTTTGTCTATGTATTCACACATGTATTATGTTTCCGGTTAATACAATTCTAGCATGAATAATAAACATTTATCATGAAATAAGGAAATAAATAATAACTTTATTATTGCCTCTAGGGCATATTTCCTTCACCGAGTGCCAGTTGCGCCTCGCGTCAAACAAATCCCGCCATCAGCCGGGCGCAATCCTCTCGGGAGTGGCGATGGCAATACGGGTGGCCATTTCCTTGTCCAACCCGCATGGGACGACACCCTAGTCGACGAATTCGGAGTGGTCAGGGTCAGATCCACTACCCGCCATGCTGTGGAAGGCCGGAGATCTCTGGATGGGATCTTGGGGGAGTGAAGTGGGTTGGCTAAGGTTTGGTCTGGGAAGTAGATGGGGACAAATATATATGGTGTCGGGTGGGCTAGTATGGGTCGACTCTGATGTGGCAGACGCGCCCAAGCCACCACATATTTGTCCCATACGTGTCTCATTCATATCATAAAGATCAACATACAAGTCACATAATGGCTGGCATGATAAAACTGGAAAGATAGCAGAACATCTCTGAGCTTAACACGAATGCCCGTCACCTGCCTCCTGCACCACCACAACAACAACTGAAGAAAATATTGATGGATCACCTCCTCACCTGAGCTCGACACGGCTCCATCGCTAATATGAAGCTTTGCGGATCTCCAAGATGGCTCAGCAAAAGTGAAGTAATTGCCGTTGAACGAATCAGACTGAGGCAACACCCTGGACATGCTATTGAACTCCAGTTCTGGCACCCCACCACGTCTAAGACGCTGAAGGAGGAAACCACACCTACCATCCATCAACCACGAACCCAACACACGTTCTGTCTTTCAGATGTCATCGATGCAAACCACAATCTGCATCCGCTCTTGAACTACCTCCCAAGCTCCGCGCCAACGTTGGAGTAGACGTTGTAGCAACAGCGCAGCCCGAGGACACATGTCCACCAAGTGGATGCCGCCGCCACATCATCCTTGCTTGAACAAACTGGTTTCCAAAACCATTCCCAACCATAGGGTCGACCGCCTTGTCGAAGAAGGATCTGAAGAATATTTATTCAATGCCACCATCGCCGAAGCTAAGACAATGAACAACCTAAAAAAGAAGCTACTTTAGCCTAAAACTATCCACACACGTGGTTTCGACGACCCCCTCAGAGCAACTCCAACTAGGAGACCCAAACGGATGCACCATTTGTCCGTTTGGGTCGGCCCAGCGGACACCCATGTACGCTTTCGCGTTTGGGTCGGCGCTTGCGCCCAACGCTAGCCCGACCCATTTTCGAGTTCGCGTGCGAAAAAATAAATAATGCAAATATTTTGAAATTAAAAACGTAATTAAACATAAGTGCACGCCACAAAGGCCGGCGAGAGTAAACACTGTAGGGGAACGTAGTAATTTCAAAAATTTCCGTACGCACACGCAGGATCATGGTGATGCATAGCAACGAGAGGGGAGAGTGTTGTCTACGTACCCTCGTAGACCGTAAGCGGAAGCGTTTATCAACGCGGTTGATGTAGTCGTACACCTTCATGATCCGTCCCGATCAAGTACCGAACGTACGGCACATCCGCGTTCAGCACACGTTCAGCTCCATGACGTCCTCGCCTTATCGATCCAGCAAGAGGGACGAAGTAGTAGATGAGTTCCGGCAGCACGACGGCGTGGTGACGGTGTGGGTAAAGAACAATCTCCGCAGGGCTTCTTCTAAGCACTACGAAAACTATGACGGAGGATAAACTAGAGGGGACGGGGTAGCCGGCACACGACTTGGTGTTTCTTGATCTGTCTTAGTTACTAGCCCTATCCCTCTATTTATATGTTGAGCCTTGGGGTCAAAACTTGGAGTAAAAGCCTCCACAAAGTCGGTTTCACCCGAAAGGCAAGAGTCCTTCTCAGACTCCAGGGCCAGACGCCAGGGTTTCTAGCGTCTGGACCCAGACGCCAGGGACCCTGGCGTCTGGCCCGTGGACTCCGCAAAACTTCCTTTTGCGCTTTCCAAAAACCTTGTGAGCTTTCCCCTTTGGCCCAAATAAAGTGTTCTCATACCCAAACATTTTGGGAAACATCCGGAACCCCTTCCAATTCCGGAACCCTTCCGGTGACTAAACACTATTATCCTATATATCAAACTTTATCTCCGGACCATTCCAGAGTTCCTCGTCATGTTCGTGATCTCATCCCGGACTCCGAACAACATTCGGTTACCAATATACATAACTCATATAGTACTATATCGTCAACGGACGTTAAGCGTGCGGACCCTATGGGTTCGAGAACTATGTAGACATGACCGAGACACCTCTCTGGTCAATAACCAATAGCGGAACCTGGATGCCCATATTGGCTCCTACATATTCTACGAAGATCTTTATCGGTCGGACCGCATAACAACATACGTTGTTCCCTTTGTCATCGGTATGTTACTTGCCCGAGATTCGATCGTCGGTATCTCAATACCTAGTTCAATCTCGTTACCGGCAAGTCTCTTTACTCGTTCCGTAACACATCATCCCGCAACTAACTCATTAGTTGCAATGCTTGCAAGGCTTAAGTGATGTGTATTACCGAGTGGGCCCAGAGATACCTCTCCAACAATCGGAGTGACATAATCCTAATCTTGAAATACACCAACCCAACAAGTACCTTCGGAGACACCTGTAGAGCACCTTTATAATCACCCAGTTACGTTGTGACATTTGGTAGCACACAAAGTGTTCCTCCGGTAAACGGGAGTTGCATAATCTCATAGTCATAGGAACATGCATAAGTCATGAAGAAAGCAATAGCAACAAACTAAACGATCAAGTGCTAAGCTAACGGAATGGGTCAAGTCAATCACATCATTCTCCTAATGTTGTGATCCCATTAATCAAATGACAACTCTTTGTCTATGGCTGGGAAGCATAACCATCTTTGATCAACGAGCTCGTCAAGTAGAGGCATACTAGTGACATTCTGTTTGTCTATGTATTCACACATGTATCATGTTTCCGATTAATACAATTCTAGCATGAATAATAAACATTTATCTTTATCTTTACCTAATATTAAAAGATGGAGGTTTTCATAGTTCTCCATAAGTCATTTCTTTATCTTTGTTGAATTTTATGATAACCATAAAGATTGACCGCTGAGATTTAAAATTAAATTTACACTTGTGTATATATAAAAGGAAAAAAACCGCGCGACGAAGTCCTACAGCGGTACTGAAATCACTATTTCACCTTCCCATATGTGCTTCCGATCAATCTCAGCTCCTAGCCATTAAAAAAACTCATTCCTCAAAAAAAAGAAACACTCCTCCCCAGATGCGCCGCTGCACCCACTCCCATCGATACGCCGCCGTCCCCGTCTCCATGCTCCACCGCCGCCCCCCGTCTCCATGCTCCATCGCCGCCCCCACCTCTCCCACCTGACGTTTGTGCTTCTAGATCGAAGCCCATGACGACGGCGCTCCCAGGTCGGTGACGCGACACTCCTGGATCGTCCTCATCAAGGAAGCGCGGCTTCCAGCCAACTATGACCAAGAGAGGCCCCCGGATCTGCGCTCCCGCGGCTGACGGCGGCCATGACGAGGCTGCTCTAGAGCACCCCCTCCCCGGCGGCGAGAGATTGGCCTCCACGTACATGGAGTTGACCCCGGTTTTCAGGTACTGCACATTCCGCCTCTCCCACTCCTAATCAATCTCCACAGCTGATGATGTTTGGTGCAGGGATGGTGCTGCTAGCGTTCAACACCATGGACGGACGGATGCTGGGCAGAACCCAGGCCATGTACGCCCCTCCCCTTCTCCTTTGTAGACCCACTGTTCCGGGCTTCTCAAACTCAATTCCTTGCTCGCCCTATAATGTTGAGTGAATAATCTCTCTCTCTCTCCTTTGGCCTTGCACAGGACAATGCAGGCACATATCAAGGATTCTCGACACCCTCAACTGAAGCTCCAACTCAATTACTTCCCGTGCTGGACATTGCTCCAACATCGTCGTTCCGTCCATGCTTCGAATTGATGGGTTGCCGTTCTGCCGACCTTGCCGGAATCAAGTCTGCCCGTGCTCCAGCCAAGATACGTCATTTCGGGTGCTCGAGCAGTACTAATTTATATTCATGCTGCTAATTTAACGATTATTTTGGTCGTGCCTATCGATTGGCCTGCGAGTGTCAATTTGTTTTCCAGTGAACTTAATCTTTCTTATTTTCATGATTAGCAAAATCATTGCAGACCGCTTGTTTGTTGTCTGAACAAAAGACATCTGTGAAAATTCGATAGAGCCTTGGACTGAGTTTACATCTGTTATCATCTGTGTTCGAAATTTGATTTAGGTCTATAGGAAAAGGCTAAGCTAAACCATGTTACTACACAACAGCCAAAAGTTTGACTGATATATATCAGTAATATGGTACTATCTTGACTGGTGAATTCAGAACTGATGCTTGCTACGTGCTACTAATTTTCATACTGATAGACTTAACCAAATAATGTATCAGTTGGGTAAAGTAATCCATTGCCCTTCTAGGAAAATTTCAGCAATTAGCCAGAATCCAATGCCACCCATGGTTAGTATTGTGGGTGTCCATTAGTACTACCAACGTACTGTAGCCAGATACAAGTAGTACAGACAGGTACTAATCAGCGTCGCTCTGCATCCTAATTTCACAGTGAACTTGCCGCTGATCAATTACAGTTCTATAACAATGGTGAAAATCTCACATTTTCTCTTGGCAGAAAACAGTTTACAGAACATAGCCAATTAATGTTTTGTATGAATCAGAGCTTGATAATTAATTCATCTGAAGATAAATTGGTTGTAGTTTGACTGTCTGCATCGTTGTTGCTTCCTTATTTTATAAATCTTCATCCTAGAATATGTACTAAGCACACACTAGGTTGATTCGGCTATTGTAGAACTCTACATTTTATTATACAAAAATATTTCTGTTGTTTTTCAGCTTAGTGGAAAAGTTCGTTCGAAGCTTTGACTAGCATCCAACCAGAGGAATACCATGAAAGGTTAGCAGTCTTATAAGTTTAGAAGTGTGGCATGGGTAGGGATTTTGTTTTTCTGGTAACACAGTACTTGGTCAGGTTTTAGAGTGTGGTCCCAGGTCTCATAGTATTGAAAGCTTTGCTATATGTTGGAGAAATTATATACTCCCTCCGTTCCTAAATATAAGTCTTTGTAGAAATTCCACTATACACCACATACGGATGTATATAGACATACTTTATAGTATAGATTCACTGATAGACTTAGCCAAATAATGTATCAGTTGGGTAAAGTAATCCATTGCCCTTCTAGGAAAATTTCAGCAATTAGTCAGAATCCAATGCCACCCATGGTTAGTATTGTGGGTGTCCATTAGTACTACCAATGTACTGTAGCCAGATACAAGTAGTACAGACAGGTACTAATCAGCGTCGCTCTGCATCCTAATTTCACAGTGAACTTGCCGCTGATCAATTACAGTTCTATAACAATGGTGAAAATCTCACATTTTCTCTTGGCAGAAAACAGTTTACAGAACATAGCCAATTAATGTTTTGTATGAATCAGAGCTTGATAATTAATTCATCTGAAGATAAATTGGTTGTAGTTTGACTGTCTGCATCGTTGTTGCTTCCTTATTTTATAAATCTTCATCCTAGAATATGTGCTAAGCACACACTAGGTTGATTCGGCTATTGTAGAACTCTACATTTTATTATACAAAAATATTTCTGTTGTTTTTCAGCTTAGTGGAAAAGTTCGTTCGAAGCTTTGACTAGCATCCAACCAGAGGAATAACATGAAAGGTTAGCAGTCTTATAAGTTTAGAAGTGTGGCATGGGTAGGGATTTTGTTTTTCTGGTAACACAGTACTTGGTCAGGTTTTAGAGTGTGGTCCCAGGTCTCATAGTATTGAAAGCTTTGCTATATTTTGGAGAAATTATATACTCCCTCCGTTCCTAAATATAAGTCTTTGTAGAAATTCCACTATACACCACATACGGATGTATATAGACATACTTTATAGTATACATTCACTCATTTTGCTCCGTATGTAGTCCATAGTGCACTCTCTACAAAGATTTATATTTAGGAACGGAGGGAGTAGCTGTTATCTTGGTAAAACCTCCTATGACCCTGTTTGGCAGCTCTCCGCTCGTCAGCTCCGCTCCTCGAGCAGCCGGAGCATCATCGAACAAGTCAACTCTGCGTTTACTTCGTCCCAGAGCGGAGCGGCCTGCAGGCCATTTTCTTGGAGTCGCCAAAGTGTCGCTCCTTGCGTTCCTGTATTTCACGAAGCTGGTGGATTGCCGAATAAATAATGTTATTGCTACTTTGTTAAGTGTTTAAGCATGCCTACTATGATCCTGCGCTTCTTACTCTTTGTGCATGGCTTGATGTCAAAACACCAAACTTAACATTTGCTTGATTAATTCAGTCCAGCCTTTGTTTTGTTTTTGAACTAACTATTACTCCCTCCGTTCCGAATTACTTGTCTTAGATTTGTCTAGATACGGAGGTATCTAGCACTAAAATGAGTCTAGATACATCCGTATCTAGACAAATCCAAGACAAGTAATTCGGAACGGAGGGAGTACATGGTTTTCTTGTTATGCTTGGATAATTAGAGTATTCTAAATTGAAATTATCCTGTCTTTTGTATGTAATTCACTTGCATGGAAGGATTAATTCAACGCATGTATTCACGACAAAGTATATCCCATACAGCAGATCACTTCTCACAACAAGATTACACCAAAATGATTTAGCATTATTGGGTTTTACTAAACTGAAACAATGTAGCATTGTATCAATATTGTTCTGCTTTCCTAATTTAATAGAATATTTAACTGAGAATGATAAGTATGCAGTGATTTATGTCCTTCAGCGTGCGTAATGTTGTTAGCTACTACTTTACATAAATAACCACTGTACTCTATTCTATGTGAAATCGACATGTTTGCATGTTGTTAACCATCTGGCAAAGAGGCTCACTGGATGTTTCTTATTATATTCTATCTGTAATAGACATGTACGCATGTCTTTAACTATCTGGCAAAGAGGCTCATTGGATGTTCCAAAATTTACCTTTATAGAACATCATTTGTTTTCTTCTGAATCGAGAGGTTCAAAGCCAATATGTTGCCAGATCATTCACTGTGTGTTTGTGGGCAAACTTTTACTTTCGAAGGAGGCGCGGACTATTGCCACTCCTTCCCTTCACTTGCAATAAATTCTTGAAGGAACCATGCAACCTAGCTGTGTCATCTGTGTGTTTTAAATTAGTTTCATCTCTGGCTGGATTGTGCTGAACTCCGCATGTAAAACATTTTATGTCATATATTTTGCACAGAGCTCACATACACTGTTAAAAAAACATTATTTTAATGTATCTAAAGTTGTATTCATTTGTGCAGGAGAATGATTTCTCAATGTCTGCCTGCACACAACCAGGTTCACTAGATGAGTGTGTGCAGGACACTACAATCTGAAGAATTAGCTCCTACAAAATAGATCCTCCACGTGGTTGTTGTGAATGTTTGCGGCACAATTCAAAATTCATAATGCTCCAAAGTTATTGTGGTGATCTGATTTAAAGCTTTTAAATAATGGATTGTACAAATAAGCATTTGAATTTGTACTCAAGGTCGTGATTCATTTTGCTTTTTTGAGTATTTCACAAGCCTAAGATTGACGGATGAGATTTAAAAGAGATTGACGGCTGAGATTTTTGTGTTATATAGTAGGATCTTTTAGCTGTCCATCCGTCACAGGCTCACAGCCCTCTCCTTGCGTGCTTATGTTTATCCGGTTTCCTGGGTTTTTTTTTGCCTAACGTCTCACTTGACACCCCGCACGGAAAACCCACCCACGCAAACCAGCGGACAAGATAGTCCCGGCAAGCAAGAAAAGACTCCCGAGCCCATGTGCCCACACAACAGTTGAAAACGAAAACACGTCGCTCCAATCTGATCCTTCCACGACCATCGCCTCCATGCGCGCTCCAAGCGTTGTAGGCTAAGCCCGCCACCGCTCCTCCATCCCCGCCTCGGGCTTCGAGTGGATCTCTGTTTATGGCACCCTCAAGCGCGCCAAGCCCGGTGAGGAAGCACCAACAGAAGAGGATCATGCCGATGTAGCCACGACTATAGTGGGAGTCTTGAATAATAAAAATTCAAGGATCAGAGTCATGCGGGAAATTATATGCTAAAGACTCATGCATTTTCCCCACTACTTTTGTTATGACAAATTCTAACTACATACATTGGAATTTAGCTCATGTTGACATATGGATTATTTTGGACCAGTATTGTACTTGACTTGCTTAAATAAATTTAATGGATCTCGGCACATTAATAACCAAAATTGATTATTGTAGTGTTGTTTTTCGATGTTTCTTACAAAATATAGTATACAACTAGACATAGAATATTAGGCCGTAAAATGAAGCATTTTTTCCACTTATATCCATAAGCCAGAGACATGCTATAATTTTTTTCTCCCCCGTTGCAACGCACGGATATATTTACTAGTCATGATATAAGGAAATAAATAATAACTTTATTATTGCCTCTAGGGCATATTTCCTTCAGTCTTTCACTTGCACTAGAGTCAATAATCTAGTTCACATCTTTTATGTGATTAGTTCACATCTCCATGTGACTAATACCCAAAGGGTTTACTAGAGTCTATAATCTAGTTCACATCGCTATGTGATTAACACCCAAAGGGTTCGTTTTAATAATGAAGAGACTGAGAGTTTAAAACCTACTAGAGGTCTGAGGCAGGGAGACCCCTTCTCCCCATACTTATTCTTGTTATGTACAGAGGGGCTGACCGCTCTACTAGCTAATGCAGAGGAGAATGGTAATATTTCTGGAGTTAAGGTCTGCAGAGATGCCCCATCAATTTCAAACCTTTTATTTGCCGACGATTCTTTGATCCTTATGAAAGCAAATGCTATGATTGCGGAGGCGTTAAAACCAGTATTGGACTCTTACTGTGCTACCTCAGGGCAATTGGTGAGTGTTGAAAAATCAAGTATTTTCTTTAGTCCCAATACAAAAGTAGAAGATAGAGCGCAAATCTGCACAACATTGAATATTATGACCGAAGTCCTCAATGGCAA